CCTCTATGTGGATGATATGCTCATCATTGGGAGTGATTTGGAGATAGTAATATCTACTAAGAAATTTCTTTCAGCACAGTTCAGTATGAAGGACCTTGGAACTACGAACGCAATTCTCGAAATCAAAATCATATACTCTAAAGAGGGTATTGGATTGTCCCAATCTCATTATGTCGAGAGCATGCTAAGAAAGTATAGCTACAACGACTTGCCAAACTATTAGTGCCATACAATTACAACAAGAAGCTTCGACCAAACACTGGAAGACCAGTAGAGTAGCTTAGGTATTCAAAGATCATTGGGAGTCTCTTGTACGCAATGAGCTGCACAAGGCCAGACATTGCATTCACTGTAGGAATGCTTAGTAGATTCATAAGTAATCCTGGAAAGCTTCATTGGGATGCTGTACAGAGATTGATAAGATACTTGAAAGGAACTACAGGTCTGGGCCTATTCTACACTGGATATCCGGCTATAATCGAAGGCTATTCAGATACGAGCTGGTGCTCGGAACCAGATGAGTCCAGATCTACTGGAAGATTTGTCTTCACTATGGGTGGAGCTGCCATCTCGTGGAAGTCTAAGAAGCAGACAATGATTGTATAGTCATCGATGGAATCTGAGTTCTTCACACTCTGTGTTGCAGGAGATGAAGCCGAATGGCTCAGTTGTTTTCTCCGAGACCATCCATTGAAATAATTACAAGACATAATTACTATCTATTGTGATAATCAGACGGCGAGTGCTGTGGCAGCAAACTCGATGTTCAATGGAAAGAAGTGGACCATTCGTCTAAAGCATGGCTATTTGAGAGAGCTAATTTGTCAAGGAGTCATCTTTGTGATTGACGTCCGGTCTTCATAGAATGTTGCTGATCCTTTGACTAAGGGTCTGAAAAAGGACATAGTCGAAAGGACGTCTGTAGAAATGGGTCTCAAAGTTTTGTAAGTCTTACAAATACTTATCATGTTTATTAAGTTATTAGTTCAAAACTTATGCTACTAATAATAAAATAATTGGTTCAAAAGTCAAGTAAGATTTGTAAAGTTTGGTGAGTCTTACAAATACTTACCATTTATATCTAGTTATTAGTTTAAAACTTATGCTACTAATAATAAGATAAATGGTTCAAAAGTCAAATAAAATTTACAAGTGAAAGGGTTCAAGTTTTCTTGGATTAATCGGTGTCTAAGGCAATGTTTGGGGGTTACGTAACACGCTCCGTAAGGAATAGGGTACTTAATTGATCTTTGATCTCCCTCTAGTACTATCCTTATCTGACTGAACTATCCGAGAAAAACTTTGATTTTTTCACCAAGAATCCTATCATGAGAGAGGATGACTCTTAAGCCTTAATGAGTTCAAAGCATTTCAGATGCGGAATGTTTGATAGGAAACATGCTTCAAGAACTCACTTATGCATGATGGAGATTTGTCCATCTCCTATGGTGTCTTGTGGAAAGATACCTAGAGCCATAGCAGAAACCAGGACATGCACAGGGCCATAAATGCGCAAAGGCAAAGGCAAGGCAAAGGTAAAGGCAAATGCAAGTGTGATTCAAAGTGAAAACTACCACATATAAGTTTGATTTTGTGTGATCGCTGGATTTTTAGACATGTGCTAGTTCAAGTCTCTGCGACACCATCACCTATCTTTTATTCAGTTGGTCTAAGGGGGATTCAAGTCCTTGCGACATATTCCTTATGTACAACGATTGAAACGACGGTACTGTTACATGATACTAGTTTTAAAAAAATTATGAGGGATTGTTGAATATTATATAATTTTTTTCTCTCAAATGGGCTGCTGCCTAACACAGCCGCCCATGTTTTCTTTAAATTTTTCAAAAGTGGTGGGCCCCATCGAAGAAAAATTTGAACGTGGATCCCACCTGCATAGTAAAATAATATTATTTTATTAGTGCATACTATTTTCCCAAACACTATAAATAGACCCCAATTCCTTAAGAAAAATTCATTCCAAAAACAACAATCAATATATACAGATATATATGTTGTAGAATAGCTAGTGCTCGTAGAAATAATGCCTAGACCGAGAAGGCCTGATAGATCAATGAGATATTTGCCTGATAGATCGAGGAGATCTTTACCTTATAGATTGATGAGATCTTGACAGTACTGGGTCGGTGCACACCAGAGTACTGGACTGCTGTTTCTAGAAGCAATTTGTCCTTGGGATCCTTACACCGAAGTAGGCCAAATAATACTTTAAGCACAGTGTTTTACAAATGTATAGCAGCTGAGTTGAAAAATTTTAAATTACTGCACTTTAGTTTTCTGTTTAGTTTTTGCTGTTATATATATCTGTATTATTCCAGATTTAACCACAGGCGCCAACAATAATCGTGTTCCATGCTAAAGTTTGCGGTGGTTTCTGGCGAGGACAGTGAGGAAGCGGAAGAAGACAGTGAGTGCCCCAGCTTTCTAGTGCTTCTACTGGATCAGGATGAGTCCTAGCTAGCATGGGTTGGACGGATGAGGAGAGTTCAAATCAGGTGATACGGTTCAAGTGGAAGTAAGACCCTCAAACCGTAGCTCGGATCTTAGCTCAAAGTATGCCAGCGGAAGATGTGGCTCTTTGTCCAGGGTAAAGGGCTTATAGCTGCTAACACGAGCCCCTCTGGATCAGGAGTTCCATCTACCATTGCGGTTCTTCAAGTTGAGCAGAATTTGGGGTGATTTGGGCGTTAGTGACCAGAGTCTGGTAGGAATTTGTCTTAAACTCAGCCCTGTGTAATGTGGCTTCTACGAGTACTGAAAACACCTGTGCTAATTTAATGGAGCAAGCAAGAACGAATCTATGGATATCGGTAAGGAGATCCCTGTTGATTGTGGGATCAGGGAAGCTCCAGTTGCCGGTATGATCAAGGGGGTGACGCAATATGCGACGGAATAGAGTAGCTTATTCAAGGATAATATTAGAGCAGTTTGTGCAAGTATGTGTCTTGAGTTTGTTGCATCCATAACGGATGATGGTGTAGACATTTCTGAAGAGGGATGGATGGATGGTGCTGGTCACTGGAATTCGTCCTCGGTTGGAAATGTGCTGGGGCTAGCTGAAGGGCTCAAATCTATGGAGGCTTATGTGAAGATTAATTCCTATAAATGTGGCAAGCCGAAGGTGATACTCATCAAGCCTGGGATGTTTGCATTCCAGTTTGATAGGGAGTTGGAAAAATAGGCTAATTTGGGTAATGGATCATGATTTTTTTGGTGGGAGACGACCTATTTGATTTTAGTACTGATCATTTTCCTAATCCTTGAAACTTCCAACTAGAGAAGAAAGTCTCTTAATTGGAAATAAATCTAATAATAGAAATTCTAGTATGAAACAATTACCATGAAAACCACTATTTAATTTGAAAACTACTATTGCAATAGTGAAAATCTTACATGGCGTAATATATTCCCTCTAAATTGAAATGGAAGATCAGAATAGGGAGATAAACGGACATGATCTGTGTCCAAGTTTCAAACTTAAAAAGGTTAGCATATAATAATTTACAAGGTCAATTAGGAGATAAACAAAAGGAAAACCTTTTATCATGTCAAACGTCTAGAGTTTAAATGTCTATTTTACTTAGACCAGTTTTGACAACCTTAAAAAGTGGGGCCTGGTTTGAACATGGTCTCATTTTGAGATAAATGTTGTTTGGGTAAAGTTAGACCAAAACTAGCCCTATTTTACCCAAGCTAAAGAATCCCCCTCTCCCCACCCCCAACTAAACTGGTTGTTTTTTTGATTTGGGGATTGGATTAAAAATAACCAGTTTTTCTCAAAACTGGATGAGGTTCAGTCAGTTTTGACAAGATTGCTAGATGCACCTAAGGGGCATGTTTGACAACTTTGCAAAACTAGGCTAAGTCCAAACTTGGTCCAATTTTGATATTGGTTTCTAATTGGTAAAAACTGGGCCACAAATGACCCAGTTTTTTTTTATTTCATTTTTTGGGGCTTAAACCAATTTAGTTGTGGATCAAGTGGGAGCTGGTCCACAACTAAACTGGTTCTCAAAAGAACCAATTTGAAAACCCATAATTTGGCATTGTATGATTTTTTTTGTTATGATTATCATCTAGTTTCTACTAAATAAAAATAAGAAAGAATTTTTTTTTTAAGTTTCTTAGTTCTCATCTAGTTTCTACTAATTACCAATAATTTGGCATTGTATGATTTTTTTTCCGTTATGATTATCGCAAATGATGATAATTCACTTGTGCAATTAGCTGTCACTATAGTTGCCATTTTTAGGAGACGTGACCATAAAGAAGCAGCTATGATTTTTTTTAATTACATAGGTCTGACTCCTACCGTTATTGTTTTATTTTGTATTATTCACGTATCATGTTGCTTGCGCGGCATGGTGTATTCAATACTTCCAAATGAAATGAGAATTGATCCATGGTCAATTCCATAACCGATAAATGATTTTGCTAGTTATACCTCGGCCTCCTTCAAGATTACAACTTTGAGATTAATACTTTGGACTCGGGTTTGCTTCTTCACAGTTGCAGCCTTAAATTGCATTTCGACCTCTTAATGGTCCCTCGAGATATCACTCAGGAGCTCCGAGCTCGACACTGTATGGATCCTGCTATTAAAGTCATTAGCAGACCGGTATTAAATTCAAACTTGACATCTTAACATATGAGCACAAGAGCTAATGCAAAACTTTAATCTTTAAAAACCGTGATTTTTGATGAATTTGGCAGAAAATCATGAATAGAGCAATTCTAAGCTACTTACCAAAATATATAGTTAGTGACTTCTGACTAGCTGCTACAAAGATCTTGCCGCATGCAATAATTTTAGCAATATTTCTAGCAAATTTTATTTATAAAGTTTCTACGTACGCTGGCTTTATGCTTTAGAAACAAAAGGGAATGAATCAATCTTATATGGAAATTATTCATTCACCTTCCAAAAAAAAAAAAATGATATACCCACAAGTCATAAAAAATCTCTGGATTAAAAAAAAATGCCAAATCCATTTGCAAATTCAGTCCCTGTAACTATAATTGCTCTCTTAATTTCTTCCTTAATTGCAATTTCACACCCTCACCATCAAAGTTTCTAAGAGGATCCTTCACTCTTAGCTGTCACCGCGCCTCTTCCCAATCCAAGCAACGAGCAAACTTTGAACCTCTCCCCTTCTTCTTCCCCCTCTCTCTCTCTATATATATAGCACCACGTACGCTATTCTATCTCCATAAACTCTCATACAATCATAAAACCTCTCCTCTAATATAATGCCTCCATCTCTTCTGCTCTTCGGAAAGAAGAGGGAAACCACTTTCAATCCCAATCTTCCTGGTCTCAAGATGCTAGCCAACGATGATCTTCAATACCCATATGTAACAAATTGCGTCAATCGCAATTTTACAGCGTCAAAAGCTAAGGCTGAGGACGATTACAACAAGGAGGAGGATGATGGCGCTTCTTGTTGGGCATCGTATGGGAGGGGACATGTCTGCAAGCTCCCTCCCGCTATCCCATTGCTCGCGAGGACCGCGAAATTGTCATGCCACATGCCCTGGATATTAAAGAGGAGCTACGAGGCCGACGGAAGGCTAGTCATTAGAGAGGTGAGGGTCAAGCATCATGAGTACTTCCGTGTGCATAGATCGAATGGAAGGCTCCTACTCCGACTTATCGAGGTTGATGGGAACTCCCCACTTTTCGCATCAAGCAAAAAATGCGAGGTTAAGGATGAAGAAGGGGATTTGACCGTGCGCTCTGAAGAAGAAAATTCATGTTCCTCGTCTTCATCTCCAACTTCAACACTGTTGTATGTGGAAAACGAGGGTAGGAAGATGGATGAGACGAATAAAGTCGAAAATTTTGAGTCAATAAGGGCAAAAGATTATAATGAGACAGAATATGAGGCAGATAAACATTTGAAATTTCTAGTTTCGTTGTCGTCGATGTCATCCTCGACCTCGGAGCCAACATTGCCGATGGGGATGAGAAAGGGGTGCTTTGCTGATGGGAGGGGATGTAGCCCACTGAACAAGATGATGCCTGTCAGCAGGATGGGGCTTATGCATGTGTAGATAGTTGGATGTGTTAAAATTTTGCAATGGAGATATAATATCCTCTATATCTCTTGGCGATATTGTTGGGACCCATCGAAAAAAACTTCATGTATTTGGGTACGATATTGTTGGGACCCATCGAAAAAAACTTCATGTATTTGGGTATTGATTGAGATTCAGCCACGGTGTCTTTAAACCATAGGACCCATCGAAAAAAACTTCATGTATTTGGGTATTGATTGAGATTCAGCCACGGTGTCTTTAAACCATACAAGAAAATCCTTACTATGCCTTTGAGCTTCTACCCATTTTCTTCTTCTACCTCGTTTTCTCGGTTGATTCTCAATCAAGAGTTTGTGCTCTCTGTATTAATAAGAAACAAACATAATATGTTATATAGTGGAATTTAAAGAATACAAAAAATAATATATAAAGATTTAATAAATAAAGTATACCTAATATACTCCCTAACTTCCCTATTACCACAATTGAATAAAGCATATCTATGTGCATTAACACAATCTACATCATCCAATGCAAATGCTTTGCCTTTCCTTTTCCTCTTTCCCCCCACTGGATGACCTATCTTTGGAAAAATAGGTGATGGCTCATCATCATCAATGACTTCATCATACTTTCTTGTATATCTATTAAATCTTGTCTTCACACCATCATGTAGATATAACGAGCAAAAAGTACTCCTACAGCAAAGGCAAGGCAATTATGATATAAACGGCCATATAATATACTCATATACGGAGTATTAAATGGGCCCTCAGCCCCTCACCTAATTAAGTACTCCAAGCCCAGTAATCAAAAAACAAATGCTAACGGGCTGCTGGACATTACATATTACTACTAAAGATATCTATATAAATTGGAGGCCCCCCTATGTTTGGGACCCTGGGCTATCGTCCCCCCTGCCCAGGCCCAGGGCCGGCCCTGCTTTCTTGTATATCTATTAAATCTTGTCTTCACACCATCATGTAGATATAACGAGTAAAAAGTCAGCGACTCTTCAGCCAAATACCCCTCCGCTATGGAACCTTCAGGAGTACTTCTATTGCGAACATATGACTTTAATCTACAAAGATATCTCTCTACCAGATACATCCAACAATAGTTAACTAACCAACAATCCAAAATTTGTTGAACTAAATGTATCGGCAAATGCACCATAATATCAAAAAAGCTAGGTAAAAATATTTTCTCTAGTTGACAAAGTATCTCCACAATTTCTGACTACAATTTATAAAGATCATTCAAATTAAGAACTTTACTACATAAGCCCTTGAAGAAAGCCCCTAATCTGATTAATGGAATAGAAACACGTCTAGGCATAGTCCTTCTCAGAGCAACTGAAAGCAAATAATGCATGAGAAAATGAGCATCGTGTGTCTCATTAACATTGACACACCTCGAGATATTTGATGCACAACCATGCGGCATTTTAGCATTTTTAACACACCACAAAATATCTTTTTCTCCTCCATCGTCATCGAAAAACATGCTTTAGCGAATGTAAAATGCCGACCATCAACTGACTTGGTTGGGTGTAGATCTCTTCTTATGCCCATATGCTGCAAATCAAAACGAGCTCTGACATGATCCTTCGTCTTTTCGGGAATGTCTAATAATGTCCCAATTATATTATCACACACATTCTTCTCTATGTGCATTAAATCCAGCAAGTACCGACATGTATTCTGCTCCCAATAAGGCAAATAAAAAAATATTGACCTTTTTTTCATGGACATCCCTTTTCTAATTTTTTTCTTCTGTTTCTTCCCAAAGTCATTAACAAAACCATGCAATTCCTCCATAATCTCTATCCCAGATAATGATTCAGGTTTTTTCCTAACTCAACATGGCCATTAAATTTTCTTCTATTTAACCGCCATGGATGATTACCACTCAAAAATCGACGATGACCCATGTAACACATTTTCCTACTGTATTTTAAATATTGTGAACAAGTGTCATAGTTACAGCAAGGACAAGCCAACTTCCCTTTAGTACTCCATCCGGACAACATTGCAAATGCTGAAAAGTCGCTTATAGTCCAAAGTAAAGCTGCACAAACATAAAATGGTTGTTTACTTGAAGCATCATTAAGTAAGCAACCCGACTTCCCATAGCTCTTTCAAGTCATCATTCAACGGTTGCAAGTAAACATCGATATTATTCCCAGGGGACTGAGGCCCTGGAATAAGCAAAGACAACATGAAATATTCTGGCTTTAGAGACATCTAGGGTGGTAAATTATAATTTATCAAGATCACCGACCATGTGCTATGCGAAATGCTCATAGTCCAAAATGGATTAAACCCATCACTAGCCAAGCCCAACCTCACATTACGAGGGTCTAGTGCAAAATCAGGATGATTGGAATCAAAATCCTTCCATGCTTTGCCATCTGCTGGGTGTCTTAGTTTCCCATCCTAAAGGCGCTCTTTTGCATGCCAACTCATGGATTCAGCAGTCTGAGAACACATGAATAGTCTTTGAACTCTAGGTTTTAAAGGAAAATATCTTAAAACCTTGGCTGGAACACCTTGCTTATTTGCCTTCCATCTACTTTCACCACATTTACTGCAAGCAACTTTTTCTCCATCTTCTCCACGGTAAAGCATGCAGTCATTAGGGCAAACATGTATCTTCTTGTAATCAAGGCCCAAATCCTTCACAATTTTTTTAGCCTCATAATAAGACTTTGGTAGATTTATTTCAGGAATTGCCTCTCTCCATATAGCTAGATAATCATCAAATGCCTCGTTGCTTAGGCCATGGATGCACTTGTGAAGATACAACCGGATGATAAAAGAGAGTTTAGAAAAAATTTTACATCCTGGAAAAAACTGCTGCTTACCTTCATCAACTAACTTATAAAATTTCTTTGCCTCCTTAGTTAACCTTTCTTCATGGTCACTTAGGTCATCTTCTTGGTTCACTGGAGACTCTTCTGCTATATCTCTAAATACATCATGCAATAACCCATCTAGGTTGTCTTGAGCATCATCAGCAACATCATCAACTTCTTCATTATTGTCATCAACATCCATCCTTGATGACACACCCTCTCCGTGAAAAAACCATTCATAATAATTTTCTACAAATCCTTTGACAATAAGGTGATCATAAACAACATCACGACTATACCAAAAGCAATTACAACAAATGCGACAAGGGAAATATATTTCATCCCCTACTGCTCCATTAGCAAATGCTCTCTCAAGAAAGTCATTGACATTATTAATGAACTCCACACTCACTCTAGGAGCATTATACATCCAATCTCTGTTTTCCGCCATTTATTATATATTCTGGAGAAAGAAAAAATGATTAACACTATTAATAACTACATATAAATATTATGATTTATAAAATAAAAAATCAATCCTCTTGTTACCATTAATAGCAATATATTCAATCAACATTCGTGCGGTTGCCATGCCATGATTTGTATTTGTAAGCAGATCATATGCTAGTTTAATATAAAAAAAGATTATAAATGAAAGTAGGTTACCCCGTAATTAACTTGGACTGTAACTGGACTAAAAAGATAAACTTGGACTGTAACTGGACTAAAAAGATATACAAAAGATGAATGCTATGCACTTGAAATTGGCAAGTCATTATAAGGAAATAATAGTATAAAAAATGCTATGTAACTGAACAAAAGATGGACTGTAACTGAACAAAAAAATGCTATGTAACTGAACAAAAGATGGGCATCACATATATAGAAGGGTTACTAAGAAAATCAAACATCCCATATAACTGAACAAATTGATGAAATTTCTTAATCCTGAACAAATTTCTTAATCCTGGAAACAATCACAACTTACAGACAGGAGGGTTACTAAGAAAATCATACATCCCATATATAGGATAAGTTTTGTATCGGACTGTACACTAGCATAACCGTAAACTTCTATCAATTTTTCATAAAAACTCAAAGTAATCACGTGCAACATACCTGACTAACTCCCTTCAAACGCAAGACTAGAACATTTAAGAGAATGCAGCCATCAGCTACAAAATTGATGAAATTAGCGGGCTTGATTGCTGAAAACACACTCTAGAAAGCTCCTGTTAGCGAGATCTGAGCTCGATTTCTGGAGAAAACCCTAGAAAACAGAGAAGGAGAAAATACCTGAAACGAGGGTAGCTCGACGACGAGAATGACAACAAGCTTGACGACGATGAGATCGGAGAGGATATCGGAGATGAGATCGGAGAGGAAAACGGCGACGAGTTTAGTGATGAGATTAGAGATGAGATCGGAGAGGAAAACGACCACGACGATTTTAGGGAGCGCTCTTTTTTTACGGCGATTTTTGGGATCAGAGATGAGATACTTCGTTTAAACGGTGGGGACAATGAGCTTTACAAACTTAAAGCTCTTGAACAAAGCCCAGGGACAATTATTAAGCCTAGAAACAATTATTTGGGCTATGGCAACGTTTTTCATTAAATGTTGTATTAGGCACTGCAAATCGTTACGATAGATATCTAACGCAACAGTTAAAACCGTTGCGCCTTAACCGCTGCAATAGATCAATTATGTGGTAGTGAAGCAAGCTGTTTATAAAGCGTCCTTCTCTCCTCTTTCTTCTCTTATCATGTGTGTGTCAAATGATACATACATTAGGCTTAATACTTGTTAGTTTGGAGGGCTAAGTGAGAAATAAAAAGGTCAAAGAGTTGATTTAAATTCTGTAAGTTGATGAGTTATCTACAAGAACCCAAACTCAGATCTGAACTGACATCCACCGGCGAACCAAAACCACATTGAGCTGAGATTTGGATTCATATTAACTAGCATTCAAATTTTCCTGTTTCTTGCAATAATTAGCATACAATTTATATGGAGCCCTTGGAATCCATACTGATCTCAGCCAAACAATGTGTTACTCGGAGAAGGTGTAATTATTGCCCCTTCATTGTTGGCACATTCTGTCTTATAGTCATTTCTCTTCAGGCCCCTTGAGGTTAATCCAAGGCGGGGTTCCTCAGATGATAACTAGGGGAAGGGGTAAGATCGTAAATGTCGGCAGTGTTTCAGCTCCGCCTACTCAAAGATACTTTGAGGAGTGTATATGTTGATTTTCCTCCTTTTTTTTTTTACATGTTATCCTTAGTTTCAAAAGCTCACAAACCAAACTGACTCTATGAATTGTAACATTGTATCATTTTAACTATCACAAGCATATCGATATTCATCTATATTACTTTTACATGTTCACAGTACAATACTACCTAAGAAACATGGACATGCATAAATTGATAAAAAGCATGGTGAAGAGTGTTGTAACTGATATAAATATCTGACATAAGAGGGATATTGCTGATTTACTTACATATTGCTTATCAGAGCCTATCAGAAAATTAAAAAAAATCCACATTCTGTTACTATTTACATCTTTGCCCACTATTTATTTTATGCACATAATATCCAAAATTCTCTACAAGTTGGAAATTAGGACTTTCGATATCAGTGTTGTAAGTGTGGTTCTAGGAGCAAGCAGATCAAACTTGGGGAACACATCTCTGGAGAGATACAACACACTTCCTGAATGGAAGTTCTACAAACTGTTCGAGGCCGCAATATGAGCAAGGGCTAATTTCTCTCAAGGCTCACGATCGATGCAGACTGAATAGTTTGCAAATAAGACAATCACGATCGTACTGAAGGAGAATCGACCAGCATGGTTCTCTTACATCAACTGTCCATAAGTTCAGCCATCTTCTACTACATGCCCTAGTTCATTAGAGGACTTTTTCAATAGGGTGGCATTGAAATGTTAAAAGAAAAGCAACTTGAGTTGGTATGTAATACCAAGTGCTATCAACAATCTACAGGTAGACTTATACACCACTTTTTATGTTTTCAAAATTTATAATGTAAAACTATGTGTTATTGTTGTAGTGATTTCCAACAATTTCCGGTTGTCATGCATGGTAAAATAGTACTTTTTCTCATTTACTTTTTTAGTTTGGACACCAATCGTAAATTTTGTTGGAAAGCAACAGTAATTTTGAGAAATCCAAATTTTATGTGGATTCGGTTCGGTCTGAAGCTGATTTGAAACTACTTTCCGAGACTTAGAGACATGATAAAATTGTATGAGAAAGGATGCCACATGAGTCCGCTATAATTAGCATTTAATAAAGAATTAGGAGAGAGATGAGAGGCAATGAGAGAAATTAGAGCAAATTAGATGGAACTCAATTGTTATTCAGGATTTATTAGTCCATGAACACCCATGAGGAAAAGCATTTAAGAAAACTCCAATTTCTAACATATAGGTTTTATGGGGAAACAACAAAAGTTGCTTGGCTTTCGCGAAAACGAAACATTGTCCAGTTTATTTCAACAACGAGAATAAAACATTTATTTTATTAAAAAATGGCTTATTTATCTAAAATATGTGATCATTAGAAGGGACATGTGAGGTTTCACCTTCCTATTTCATAATAAATCGACATGAAATTCATTATGTAATAGAGATAAGATATCTCATATGTCCCCTCCAATATCCTATATCTTGGGTGGATTAATATTTTATGTCACGTGTCCCCTCCTAATCGTTCCCCTCTTTCGTTTCTCTCTTCAAAAGTTGCCGTACTTTACGACCTCTCCTTAAAGTTTCGCACTTGGTACCTCAACCCTCCGTCCAAATCCTCGTCTCTCTCTTCAAATCCTGAATCAATTTGCAAAATTTGGTAAACCCATCTGTTTTTATTACACAATCCTTTCAATTCTCTCCTCAAAAACCGCCCCTTTTACCTAAAACAGCAATCTTTCGTTGCAGTTCGAGCTCTTGCTTCTAATTTTTCCTCCAAATTCTCCCAAATGTCAGATTCGGAGAAACAGGTTGTTCTGATCACCGGCTGCTCGGAGGGTCGGAGGGTGGCATCGGCCACGCCCTCGCCCGTGCCTTTGCGGCCGAGGGGTGCCACGTCATCGCGACGAGCAGGTCCCTGGCCTCAATGGAGAGCCTTGGGGCTGATCCTCGCTTTTTCCTTCAAGAACTTGATGTTTGCTCTGAAGAGAGCATAAGGAAAGCTGTGGAGAATACATTGGATAAGTTTGGCCGGATCGATGTTCTTGTTAACAACGCGGGCGTTCACTTGGTGGGTCCGCTGGCCGAGGTCCCGATGCCTGATGTGGAACAAGTCTTCAATACTAACGTATATGGTAATTTTTCTCAGTTTTTTCTTCTTCTTGTTTTGGGCTTGTTTGCGATACTTTACTGCATTATCTTGTTCTGGGCATATGAAGGCTAGGTGCCTGGCATTTCATAGTTACATTCGCATATCCACATAAGATGAGATGAGTAAAAACTAAAAAAAAGTGTTATCTGTCTGATTTTCGAGGTGCCTGCAGTTATTTGGCCTCCCTTAACCTCATCAGAAAAAGAAATGGTGGTGGTGGTGATGATGAATATGATTATGATAAGAAAATTTTGCTTGATTTGAGATTTCAGAGTTCTCATCTTATATTCTGTTGGTTTAGGACATGCATTGGAATATGAGCCTAGAGATGGTTGTTCCTTCTTCGTTTGTGTCTTCCACCTTTATTCTATGGTTCAACAAATTGGTCCATGTAAAGAGTGTTGAGGATGGAAAATAGAAGATCTCTCCCCCCCCTCCCTCCTTATAAACTTACAAGGGTGAAATTGGTTATGTCCTACGAGCTTCAGTATGTGGGATGTAGTAGAGGATCTAAACTCAATAAATTATTAAGTTCAAATGCAAGTTTTGATAATGCAATACTCGATTCTCCCTAAATGTGTCAAGTTTTGCTGACAAGTTTACAAGTTCTCATGCTGATGAAAAATGCTTGGGTTTATTTCTTAAAATATTCCTTATCGACCAAATATTGTAAATAATGTTTGGAAGAAAGGAAATAATTGAGACAGAACTAAGACAGAGTATTCTTTATAAATACTTAGGAACTTGCATCCTTGAGTATTCATCTCAAGATCAAATAAGGAATATAATTTATTTATTATTTCATACATACCCACTAAGCTATTGCATTAATTCTTGGAATCCTAACCTGAAAAATGTGAGTTGTTCTAAAATTGGTTATTAAGCTTATTTGCCACCCTTGTTACTCTCGGTCTAGGGAATAACACATGTCAAATTGTTCATGAGATAAGAAAATTGTTGAATGTTCCCATGACCATACTCTACATGTACCCGTATCTAACCTCCATATCCACGCTCTACATGTACACATTCAACCATGCCATGCTAAGTAGAAAAACTAAGATAAGTTTACTTAATCTTGTCCCAAAAGAGGCAGTATTACAAAATAACCTTTCCAGGTTTTCCTAATGAAGAGGCTAATTTAATAGGTATACCAAAACTAGTTTAATTGGTAAAACATGATTGGACCTCTGTTGTTTCTTTCTTCCTCCTCCTTTTCTATGATTAGCGTTCCTATTCTTTACGATTTCTTGGATATGACTGCCCCAAGTGTCTAGACTTGACAAAAAGGGAGAAATAGATTGTTGTGAAAGAAATCAGATCTCCTGACCGATTGGTCGTTGGAGCAATGTGCTGGAGTTTAAAGCCATGGGTAGTTCTTGTGATGAACTAACAATGGGAATATATGTAGTTATGTACTGCAAGAATGATGAGCATTGGGATAATTGTTATGAAAGAAATCAGATCTCCTGACTGAGTGGTTGTTGGAGTTTAAAGCCACCAAGGATCCATAGCTATTTTGGACATGTGAAAAGTTGTTGAAGTAAATACTTGCTAACCTTTCTTAGGTTTTATTATATTTAACATATTCTCTGTGCATATTCTCTGTGCATAAAATATTAGTCTAATCATCTTGAGTATGAAGGCCAGCCTAAAGCTGATATTGCATAAGTGACTATAATTTGACACGTCTGAGGAGGTACGTGGTAGACCTGTGATTCATAGACACAAACTTGAGTTTCATGCCATGACATAGACATGATATTCTCGAAACAAAACTATTTAATGTCTAGACATGAGGCAAGAACTGCATATGAATTTTAGTCCAAAATATATGTCTAATTATCTCATATATGTCTATGCATCCAGTTGGGTACACATATTGGGAAAAGTTTAAATAACAGAAAGATTTAATCATCTAATTAACAACCAGTTTTAGTCAAAAGTAGAACTCACAAAAGTGTTGGCCCAAATTTATTTACTGGATAGTAACATTATATGAACCCACTTCAAGTTGGTGTTTCCCCAACACAAACATGAGGAAATACGGATTCTGTCTATAGAGGATAGTTTGCTCATAGTAAGAAGAAAGAATTTTTGCAGAGTATGTTCGCCACCAAGGAGCAGCCTTCAAATTAATCGGGGCTTGAATGTTGCATAGAAATGATAAGCTTTTGTATAGGACATCACCTTTACCTCTGTGACATAATGTGAGTGCCCAAATAGTTATTTGATGGATTCTATGGTGAGATGAAGATCTATGAATTTATGTCAGGAGTTAAGTTCAGACTTGAAGTCCAGTTTCACTATCTCTATGCTCCAAAAAGTAGGGCTTGCATGTTTGAATAATTACGACTTGATTAGTTGCCAGTAGATTGGACTCCATTCATTTTGTTTGTAATACATCATTTTGACTTTGAGTTTGATCATTAGCAGTAAGGGTCCTATAGTTTCTATTTTATAAACATGGTTGTGTTGTATTTTATTATATACTGAAGAGTTTGTTAACAGAAAATATCAGACACGTCAATCTCAAAAATCCAGACTTGAGGACCCAACTGGTTATCTGTTTGACTGTGAATATGCATATATTTTGGACATATATATTCTTGAGTTTGTAGGATTGTTTTTCTTCTATCCTTTCTTTATGTCAATAGATGTATGCAGATACGGATTGAAATATTCTTATTTTGTATATCTGTATAGTTATTTTACAGTCCCATATGCATAACATCCAGCAGTCATCTCAACCAATAATTAGTTACTTAGTATTTTCTGCTTGTTCTGTCTTATAATCATTTCTCTGCAGGTCCCCTGAGGTTAGTCCAAGCTGTGGTTCCTCACATGATAACTAGGAGAAGGGGCAAGATCGTAAATGTTGGAAGTGTTTCAGCTCTGGCCCCTGGACCATGGGCTGGTGCTTATTCTGCATCAAAAGCTTCTATCCATGCACTAACAGATACATTGAGGTGTGCATAAGAACATTTGTTTCTTACTGTTTTCCTTACTTCTTATGCATTAATACACAATTTGAGTTCAAGCTTGCAAATCAACTATCTTTATGATGTTCGCAAGTTTGTATTTGATATCTTTCCATTTCCTTCTCCCTGGGGTGAACATGTGTTATGGTTTTTAAGTAATTTTGATATATTGACATTAACGATTTCTATATTACCTTTAGATGCTTAAAGTATATCCTCACCTAAGAAACAGGGACGTGGAACATTGATATGGACATGATACGAGACACAAATACACACCAAAAATTCTAAGAGGCATGTACTAAATAGCATTAAAAACAGAAATAAGTATCGTATCTGATATGTCTGACATAAGATAGAAATATCGTTATTATTTATGGATTGGGTAAATTTCAGATTGCCCGTCTCATTTTTCATCAGTATAATTATCACCCATTAACTCATTTATAACATTTATCAAACCCTCAATTGATGAGGAAGAGGGTAGTTATCTGCAACTTTCATTCATAAAATGCCAATCTAAGGATGAGAAGTGCTAATAAAAGTGTTGAGGGGTGATATGTGGAGGGGGGTTGCTTGCAATTTATAAATTTTACCTATCAGATGACTATCCAAACATCGAAAATTTCCATGTTCCACAGCCATTGCCATTTTTGTCTGCTTTGCAATTTTAAACTCGTCATGTTACTTCAAAATTCTATGTAGGCTAGAACTCAAGACTTTTGGGATAAGCGTTGTAAGTGTGGTCCCCGGTGCAATCAGATCAAATTTCGGAGACTCGTCTTTGGTGAAATACAGTAAGCTTCCGGAGTGGAAATTCTACAAACCTTATGAAGCTGCAATCCTAGCAAGGACCAATATCTCTCAAGGCCCCAAATCAACACCTGCAGAAGAGTTTGCTAAAAAGACAGTCTCAGCCATATTGAAGAAGAATCCACCGGCCTGGTTCTCTTATGGTCAACTATCCACAATTTTAGGCATCCTTTACTACATGCCCTTGTTCATTAGGGATATTGTTTACAGGATGGCATTGAAATGTTGACCAAAGGGGAAAAAAAAGAAAAAAAAAACAGTTCAGTTTAAGAGCAAAGTGCTACGAGTTTTGAACAATTCTATGTGTAGATTTTGTTATTATGATTCACTTGTTTCAGCTTTTTTTTTACCTTTCATATTTGTGAAGTAAAACCTGTGTGTTATTGTAGTAGTGGTTGCTTACTGCAATTTGAATTGTTTTGGCTTGTGAAGCTTAATATTCTTTTGATTCAGTTAAAAAAGGGACCTTTTTGTTTTGTGCATGCCGATTTATTTTTTAGTATACAAATAAATGCGCATGTCATGAATGAGTTATCACACTTTTTACATCATTTAAAATTTGAAAAAATGAAAAATGAAAGAGACCGTCTATCATTCAAATATTTGTCTTCGACTCTTTATGCATATGTTCTTGACGAAATAGACAATGTAAGTTTTATCCTTTGAACATTGACTCTACAAACACATTTCCGGTCAATCTTCTTAAAACTTGTCCTTCTCTTCTCATACTTTAAGAGCAAGAGAGTTAAACTTTATTATCTATACGTGCCTGGTAAAATTATTAGTTGAGCGATTTTTCCTACTCATATTTTAAGAGCAAGAGTTTAACTGAGTGACGACGAGCCCGCACTTTACGTCAACAATTCCTGTAACCCCTGCACAAAGATGGCCTCCATCACTCACGCCATATCCTTTAATGGTAGAATCCAGTAGAAATAACGCCAAAATTAAAAGTAAAAATAATAATAATAAAAACGTAAGAGATACAATGACAACAAATACTATCACCAGCTAAGATGCAAGTGTACAGAGTCTCATCATGTTTGAGAGGGCAAGACCACGTGTTGGGTGGTTGCAGGGGCCTGAAGCTCGTCTTAGGTGGCTGTAGTGGCTGCTGCATACTGCATACCAAATTGCAGGGGCTGCTGATTTAAAGGAAGTGGGTAACGTACAATTGGTGGAGGCCGTTGATGTCCTGGCTGTACTGGTAAAGTAGGGTGAGCCCCCACACTTCAAATTCAAGCGCAGAGGTCGAATCCCCACGCTTCAAATTCCAAACGACAGAGTCTTAACTCTGCGTTATATCATTAAAACGAGTTTCCTCGTTATTCGAAGTTTAGAACTTGCCGAAGCAAGTTTTACAGCCACAAAGGCCATACTTACCACCAACGAAAGGAACTGTGGCAGCGCCACACCTGCTAATCGGGCACACCGGCGGCGGCCGAAGCCGACAGGCAAACTCTGAGTCGCGACAACAGCGGGCCTGGGTCGGGAGATAGTCTTCTTTCTGGGCGTCATTGATGAGGATGATCGGAGAAGATGAACAGGATTCACCGAAGGTTAAAACGAAGAGTTGTTCGTTAAACGTTTCGGGGAAGAATGGAGAAGAGTCGAATGACTCTTGATTTGATCACAGCGGTCTATTTATAGACAGCTGTGAGCTGTCAAATCGAAACGAGATTCTAGATAAGAATCGCGCCTAAACGTGACCTCTGCATCCGCGTTGGAGTTGGTTGAACTTCTGACGCAAAGTTCATCTTTGCGTCCCAAATCTCAAGCACAAGATTCACTTGTGCATTTCAACGCCACAATACAAACATTTCGACGACCAGGGCTGTCGTACAACTTCAAACAATTAGAAAGAAACTAACAATGGCCATCAAGGTGACGAAAGCCGAGAAGAAACTAGCCTATGATAAGAAGCTATGCAGCCTCTTGGATGAGTACAGATAGGTTATAATAAATAATGTTGATACTATCGAGCTCAATCCGTCGCACAACTCATCCTTCCAAATGGATTAACATTCCAACCAATATTAACAAAGCCCAAAGATGCTTAACTCACTGAAGAAGACCTCGTTGACAAGTTTGTAGCTGATGTTTCTGTGGTGGCTTCGGTATCATCGCCTCTCTTTTACTTAACTCCTGCAGCTGCGCGTTGGGTGTTCATCAATACCTACAAGAATCTTTTTTGCTGGTGTTATTGACAATGAATACACCTTCATATAAGTCGAAGGAGTATCTCAAAGATCTAAGCAAATTCGCTGTTACTTTCGCTTCTGTTGCATCATCCGAGAATGTTGTTATTCCTGTTGCCGAAGAAGAGGAAAAAGTTAATCCTACTAATGGATCTAACGATGATGACTTGGACTTTAGCTTGTTTGACTAAGTTCATTGTCATCAACACACAAAAGTTATCTTGTTTGGTTTAAGGTGATCAGAATTACCTTAACTACTTTTACACGTTCATCGGGAGTATGAGGTTAACCGTTATCAAAAGAGATTGCAAGGAATCGCAAATACAGGAAGTAGAATTATGATGTACAGAAAATTCCGACAACCAAATTCATAACGCCCTCAAAACAGATGGAGTGAACAATCATTCAACAAAATTTGGGATCCAAAGTATTCCGAAAATTCGTCCCAGTCAACCGTGAACTTTCGAAAACTTTAGAGGGGTTCTGTAGGCTGTCTAAAAATCATAATAGATAGATGATCCCTACCAAACTTCAATGATGGAAGTTACAATTTGACGATTTCTACATCAGCATCTCGATAATGAAAGTTACAATCAGACGACTTTCATGTTAATAAACGAAAGCTACAATTAGTGAATTTTTACGTAGATCGAGAAATGTTACAATTCAACGACCTGGACGACAATCGATGAAAAGCTCTGATTCAACAGGCTTCACAAACAACAGTGAGAGTTACAATCTGATGACTCTCATCTCAAAAATAGCTAAATCGAAGATTACAGAACAATGGTCTTTGCAACGCTTTAATAGGGAAGGTTACAAACCTACAATCTTTTCGAAAAACACAAAAGCGACCTCTGTGTTTCAGCTTCAAAACACAGAGGCGTCGTCTGCTTTTCAGTTTCAAAACACAATGAGACCATTGCATTTCAACATTATGCAGATGCCTAACTCTGCGTCCCAAGTCTGAGATGCAGAATTTGGTTCCAAAATGCTAGCTTGAGACATTTGACTCGTTCAAGCACGAGCTGAAACGGCTTCAAAACTATTTCCCCCACGTATTGAGGGATTCTCGCCCACTTAGGAGCGGATTAAGGGGTCACTTACACCCCCTTATCCTCCTATAAATATCCAATCAACTAAACCGAGTAAAAGGATCAGATTTTTTTAGGGGATCAGATCAGATTTTTTTGGGGATCGGATCTGATTTTAACAGATCAGATATTGGTAAAAGAAATCTGATTTTGGCCTAATTCAGAAAGAGGTTTGAGGTATCTTTTCAGCAACGAATAGTTTAATTCATTAACCGAATTTTCTGTTTAATAACAACTCTTTTACAGAGTTTAAACTCGTTCTGAGTTCATAAACTCTGAAGAGTTATTTTCAAACTTGTCCAAACAAGTTTACATTAACCGCTCCAGTGAAGTGAGACATTGGATCATCAACGAGAAGCAAACTCGATACGAACTTTGAGGGAGGCATCTCATCGCTACCGTGAAAAACCCAGTTTTAAACAAAGGGGAAGATCTCCGTCGATCTTCTTCTCTTTTGTAAATCGGGATTCCGATACAAGAAGATTGTAGTTTCTTTTTCTAAGTCTGTTAGAGAGAAATTATATTAAGAGCGTTGTAATCATTCTTTGTCTAAGTCAGTTAGAGAGAATACCACATTTTTGTTCTCAATTTTCTTCTTACAAATTTCTCACAAACACTCACCGAAAGCTTTACAATTAACACTCTTGCAAGCCCACTCTACTCCCTCTAAGTGTTAGTCTCTAGCCCGTGTCTCTCTCAAGTACTCGGATTTACAAGCTCTTCCTACGCTTTACTACCGACGCCACTCCTCTTGGGATGACCCCGTCTCTCACCACACATTTCTCTCAGTGTACAAGTGTATTACAAAGTGTATCCTTACAATGAAAGCTCAAATACAAAGTTTTGTTCTCTACTATGGATGAGAACTCAATTAAGGGTCACTCTCAATATCACAATCCCACAACCCCAATATATACTATGTATACAAATACAATAAGCTCAATAGGTTGTGTGTGAACAATGAGTATAAATCAAAATCAAACTAAACTTAATATAAACTCTAGCTTAAAGAAATGAAAATCAAACATATAAATAGCTAGATAAGAGTTTAGAAAAACTTCTCTAGATGACAAGAGAGAGAGGGAGAAGAGTTGAATGCTCAAACACCAATGGATGATCTCCACAAGCTTTTGCGAAATTTTCTTCACAAATAAACTCTTGAAACAAATACTAAAACAAACACTAAAACAAACTTAAAACCCTCTTAAAATTGTATAAAACTTTCTTTTATTGCTTCAGAATGTTAGAGGGCAAGGGGTATATATAGGATCATAAGACAAAGTCCACAAACCAAGAAAAACCAAGCAAAAAGACAAAATAACGAAAACTGGAAATATAGTCGTTAGAGGCCATCGGTCGACAGATGAACAGTATCAGTCGACTGATGAGCTGACCATTACAGGCAGTTCACAGCTCATCGGTCGACTGAAGACCTCATCAGTTGACTGATAGTTCATTAGTCGACTGATAGTTCATTAGTCACAAGAACAAAAACTATTTGATGATTCCAGGCGAGTTCATCAGTCGACTGATAACAAGTTATCAGTCTGATTAAAATAATAAATCTGATTTTTGAAGTGGTTTTAAAAATAGCAAATAAATTCTAAAAAATATAAAACTTTGGGAACTGATTGTAAACATGATAATAAACATGTTACAAAAAGGTTTACAAGACATGAAAGCTAAACAAGGTATGTTTTTGATAAAATATTTTAAACAAACTTTTAAAACTTTGTAAAATGATTTTATAGACTTGATAAAAGATATAAACTATACTTGTTAAGTCTATAAACCAAAAACACAATATTTTTCAAAATACAATAGAATATGAAACATATGAATATGTATATGAATGTATTCTTGTTTCATATCTATATAACTAAACTAAAATAATTTATCCACATGAAAACAAACATATATGTATATAAATATAAATATAAATATATTAGTTTGAAAAAAAACTTTGTTTGTGGATAAAACCCAAAACCAAAATGTGTATATATATAACTATATATATACATAGAAACCAATAAAATGTGTGTATATGATATTGAGCTTAGAGTATCAACTCACATAATATAAACCCTAAACTAATTTACCCAAGCTATTGGTCTTTAATAAGCTCTTCTTAGTTGTGGATGAA